TTTAGTTTGGTTTCAAATCTTCTTCTTATATAATTTCTTCTCATTATTAATATTCTCATTATTATTATTCTGCCCCAGGTTTCCAGGTCATCAGAGACTAAATGACAAGATAATTAATTCTCTTCCTTACCTCCCCTTGTCCTCTGACCCCAGGAGTCCTTCCTCCTCTCCCTTGGACTCCAATCTGCTCTCATTCATCATAAGAAGGCCCTGACAAAGTCCCTCACCACAGCATGGGATGGAGGGCAAGACCAGGGGCTCCCTGTCTGGCACAGGTGTGTTTACAGCTTGTGACAAGGCCTGTTGGTGCTGCTGTGGATGAGGGTTGGCTGATCTGATCTTTCAGATAGTTTCTGATCCTGGGTTTCAACCACAGCCTGCATCTCAGACAAGCTTGGGGGTAGGGGGACCCTGTTTAAAGGTAGAAAAGATCAAAGTTTCTCTCACCATATTGAGTAAGTCCAGGAGCACAGCCCCAGCACACTCAACAGGGAGAATACATTGTGTCAAAGTATCACGGAAGGCAGCTCAGCCGTAGCAGCTATACAAATGTGTAGCAGCCATAAGAAGCCATTTCAGACAAAACGGTCTAAGCCTGGGAATCAGGAAAGAGAAGCAGCAAACACAGAACAGGCACCAGCGTAGATGCCCCAGTCGGCAGCCTCCCGGCTGTGGCCCTGGACAAGTTCCTTGATCTGTCTGTGCCTCCATTTCCTCATATGCAAGATGAAGGCAAGAGCCCTCCCCATGCAGAAGGCACACTGAACGCCTTTGAACCAGAAGACAAAAGAAAGTGCCCGGCCCTGCAGCCTAAGTCTTCCACTTCCTGGCTGGTCCTTGGACAAAGCAGGAGCGTTTGCCTGACCACAGATGCCTCACTCCAAAATGATGGGACGTGTGACTGATGATCGCCAAGCAAGGACACGTATCCCTTGATATCATCTAAACGGGACCCACAGAAGAGCAGGATCCTCCGCAGCCTGAGGTCTTCCACGAGCAAAATCAGAGCCCAGGATGCCAAGGCAGCTCTTCCAAGCACACACACCCCCTCCTGCGCTAGTGCGCATGTGCAGGCTCTGGGCAAGCCGATGGAACATGACCGATGCCTGAGATCTGTCCCTCCCTCTTGTCTGTCAGGCAACCGCCCCAGCACCCACCCCCAGACGGAAGCCAGCGCCAAACCACTTATTTGCAATTGTATTTGGGGCTGATGCATTGAGCGAATTTTCATTTGGATAAATGTCCATTTTCTCTTGCTAATTTCAACAAGGATTTTTAAAGAAAAAGTCCCTGGAACATTAAGCACTTGAAGTTAACCGAGTGTGGAGTCTCGTTTCCCACAAACTCGAGAAGCGCGACCTCACTTCCCACTTCTACAGCAGCATCAGTTATTAATGTGTATATTTTTGCTGACGAGGGCCTTGCTAGAAATGTTGGTTTTCTTATCCTGTTCTGGGTCATTAACTGTGGAAAGCTGGTAAATGTAATGGTTCATTCACATGCGAAGCCTTCATTAAGATGCATTATTCTACAGCTGATGCATTTCAATATATAGTATATCATTGTGTTCTTCCGAGCCGTTTAATATTCCTAATTTACTTTTAAATGAGTTGCTGTTTATGTGGCCAGTTATCAAATCTGAATTCCGTCTGACCAAAGTTGCTAAAGAGGAAAAGATATTTTAGCCCAAAGGATACGCTGCTCATTAGCATCGAAAATATATTTGACTCTTTAAATTCAGAAACACTTAGAGGAGGGGGTTACAAACGACACAAATATATTTTTGGCAGAGAAAATCTACATCAAGGAACAACTTCTGAACCGAGATTCCCAAAGGAACAGCCCAGCAGGGAGCTTGCTGCTGCCTTCTTCCGTGGCATGAGTGATTTTCAAAAGGCATTGGACCTCTACTTTCACATCTGTCCAATGGGCTCCCCACACCCTCATTTCCACCTCCCAGCATGAATGTGAACATCACTGAGGAGACAAGGTGCAAGAGCGTATAGGACAGCTCACCACCATGGGTACCAGTGGTTGATGGGAGGCTCTGAGGAGCCCTGAGCATTCTGTCTCCCTCATAGACATGGCGTCCTTGAGAAACTGCCAAATATTTAAATGAAACTATTGACTAGACACAAACCAGAGGCTCCTACTGTATAACCTATGGGGCTGTTGACTAGACACAAACCAGATTTGTTTCTTTTTTTAATACTTTATTTTTAAGTGTATGAGTATATTGCCTACATGTGTGTTAGTGCACCTGTGTCATGCAGTGCCTGTCAGTGCCTGTGGAGGTCAGAAGAGGGAGTCAGATCCCCTGGAACTGGAGTTACAAACGGTTGCTAGCTGCCATGTGGGTGTTGGGAATTGAACCCAGGTCCTCTGCAAGTACAGCTGGTGCTCTTAACCATCTCTTTTTCCCCAGATTTGTTTCTTGGATCAAATAGCCTGACAAGCAAGTTAAGGGAGGCAGGGTTAATTTCAGCAGGGATGCAGTCCATCCCAGAGACGCGGCAGCAGGTGGCTCTGTGCTGGAAAGGGCCACACCTTACCTGGTCACACCTGGAAGGATCAGGACAAGAAGTGGGTTTGGGCTAGAAAACCTCTTCCAGTGACCTACTTCCTCCGGCAGGTTCCGCCTCCTAAAGGCTCTGTGACCTTCCAGAACATCACCAGCAGCTGGAGACCAAGTGTTCACACAGATGAGCCTGTGGAGAGCTTTTCTCAGTCAGACCTCAATACTACTCAGTAAGGATGAAGGCGAAAAGGCCCAGCTCTCCAGTAGCTTGTTTACATCCCTGAAGGACGTCTACAGGTGTCATTTGGAGTAACTCCCAGGAGCAGCACTGTGGGAGTCATCAACCCAGCCGAGGACCAGAGAACCACAGCATTGAGGCAAAATTTCACATGTTTGGCAGAGGCAAAGAAATCCAAGTAGCTTGTGACACTGATCTGTTTTAACTTCCTGAACAACTGTTATGAGGTGATTCACCAGAGAAGACTACTCAGGCAGTTTTGCCAAATGAAAGTCTTGCTGACCAGAGCCACACAAGGGTGTAGGAACCCCAGTGTGTAGCCCCAAGCCGTTTTTAGGGTTAGCTTTTATATAGAGAAAGCATAACCAGAGGTGAAAAGTTTAAGTTCCCAAGCATACAGGTGGAGAGCCCCCTTAACAATTTCTATTCTATTAAGCAACAATTACTATTTTGCAGAAGCAAGCCAAGCATAACCTACTTAAGCCATAAATCTGCAGTTAGCAGGTGCACTCTGGGACTATCTGACCTGTTCACAAGATAACTGGGTCCTGCCGACGTGTGTTCCCACACCCTGGGGCCAACTGCCTGACAATTTCATACACTAGAGTCAGCCTAAACTTTAACATGGCGTAGCTATGGTCAGAAGGTGTCCTATCACACAACCTTAGAGAAGCCGTGGGACAGAAAGGAGAACATCACAATACAGGAAGACAGTGCAGCAATGTCTCTAAACAAAACTCGGAGCAAAAATGATTATTAACCTAGAATTCTGTAACAAGCCCAACTATTAATAAAAGTGAGGGAAAATTGAAGAAGAAAAAAAAAACAAACTGTGTTTAACAACCAACATGCAAAATTCCAGGAACAGACACTGGTTCTCAGGATCCTTGAAAGGCAGGCTCCAGTCCCCAGCCAGTCTGCTTTTGACTGGAGTGACTCTGGACTCCCTAGAACTTGGGATCTTCCTTTGTAAGAGAGAACTCCCGCTTCAGCTCTCACAGCTGTGATCCCTGGAGCCCAGGCTTGTCCTCCTTCCTTCCTTCTACCTCATTACCATGACCCTTGGATAGACTGCTGGACACAGGGAAGGCCTATCTCGTCTGATCTGACCTCCCTGGGGATTCAGAAGATGAGAGCTTCATCTTCACACCAGGCATGGTCCGTCTCTCCACAGCCCGGTACAGACTCTGTGTGCTGCTCAGGGTTGGCGGCTGCCCCACACCAACCACTTACTGACTTGCCGATGGGCAGATCTGGAGGAGGAACATTCTGCATCTGACTCACTGTTGGAATGCTTGTGTAATTTAGCTGTACCCGTTACTTCTTGGAGAGTTTGAGGCTGACTTTTAGAGTTGATTTTGATGTTGTTGACAACAATGAGTACAACTCCCACGGGTTCTTGTTTCAAACGCTGCCTTCCTTCTGTTCTCTGACCTCCCACTGAGCAGAAAGACTGGGAAAACCTTGGCCTCTGGGGAATGAGGGCTCTTTTAGGCTTATTTAATATACTAGTTTTCTGTCACTGTAACAAAATACCAGAGAAGATAAACTTTAAATTTTTCTTTTGCTTAACTGTTTTAGAATTCCTGTTGATGATCAATCACTGCTTTTAGCCTGAGGGGAACAGCATGGTGGGAACACGTGGTGGGGGTAAAATCACCTACCACAGGGCCAGGAAGTCAAGAGAGAGGAAGAGGAAGGGGTGGGGGTCGCCCTTCACTTGTGCACCCCCAATTACCTAAAGACTTCCGCTGGTTCCCACTCCCCAGCAACATCTTTCTGGGCACCAAGCCTTTACCACAAAGGTCTTTGGGAGACATTTAAGACCCACAAGGTAACAAGGAGCGTACATTCATTTTCTTTTTCATGGCAGGTCTCACTATGTAGCCCTGGCTGGGCTGGAACTTGCTATGTAGACCAGGCTGGCCTTGATCTCACAGAGCTCCGCCTGCCTCTGCCTCCCTGAATACTGGTATCAAAGGTCTGCACCACCACATCCAACATTAAATACGCATTTCCAAGCTACTGCCCCTTCTCTCTGGGCAGTGCTGCGGAATGCACTAAGTCGTCCGTCCCCTAGTGGTGAGTGAGTCCTTGAGGCCCTCCCGCCAGCTCTGATCTGGTTCTCCAGACGTGCTCTGTGTTGGGACACCTGCAAAGACATCTACACTTGATTCATGTCTAGTATTTTTCTCCAGCTCTGGCTTTCAAGATCTCAGTGTTTTGGGGGGCTTGTACTTTCAGAAGCCACCCCCTTTCTTCAATGAAGTCAGCACTGCAATCATCCAGGCCGAGCACGTGACACGCCTGCGGCATGCGGTACAACTGAAACATGAACAGAGCTACAAGGAGGCCTTGCTGAGCGTGAAGGAGCACCTGAGGGCACTGGAAGGCCCAGACATCAAAGAGCGCCTTCAAGACCAGATCCGGCGCTGGTTCATCGAGTGCAGGTGACCAGCCTCCTTTCTGGCGGCTGAATGAATGCATTGTCGTTTGTGTGTTTCCTTGTGTAGACACGGTCTCACTGTGCAGTCTAGGCCAGTCTTGAACCTGCAGCAAACTTCTTGCTTCAGTTCTGGAGTGCTGGGTGTACAGGCGCGGACCGCCACACCTGGCTCAGTGTGTTCCTGAATACAGGGGCATGCCAGTATGGGGGCATGAGAGTTCCTGACTTCATTTTAGGAAAGAGAAGCAGCAATGCTAAGAATTGAGAACTATTTTAATGATATTGCTTCTTGTCTTGATATGGAAATATGGTTCACGTGGTGCTCTGTAACTACATGAAATAGAATGTGATGGGTGAGACAGACAGCCCTTCATGGGAGGATTTCACAGCCATGTGTATACCAGAGCCCAGGGAACCAGAAAGGGCCAGGCCTCACTCCTTTCCCTTCCCACTGCTTAAGAGAGGCTCCAGGCTCAGCCCTCTGTCAGTCTGAGAGGCAAATGCTCCTTCCAGGACTTGACACCTGGCCCCAGGACTCCCTAAAATGATGGGTCCCTAGGAGTCCTGGAGACAGGGCCTCGGGCCCATTCATCTTCTTGTTGCTCTTAAATGAAACGGTACATGGCTCAAGGCTTGTTTGCCCAGCTCTTTGTGTTTCCATGACGTAGAACGAGCTTGTGTGGGCAACGGATTCGGAGTTGTCTTAGAGTCTGTTTTATTTCACAAGGGAAGGCACAGGGCCCACTGTTACAATCAGCCCTAGGTGCTGAGGAAGGAAACTCGGCAGCTCTATTCTTGCGTGGACTTTGTGTCATGTCACATCGGGTCCCGAGACACTCAGACATCAATGTCGGCTAGCTCACGGGGACCAAAGAATAGAATTTTTTGGAAGCAGAAAAAGCGAGCTAAGTCCTCCTGGAAAATTATTATGTATTGTGTGGCAGCAGGCTATGCCCTGACCGCCAGGGTTCCTTCCCCTCAAGGGTCTGCACCTGGTCCCTCACCTAAAAGAATCCAGCAGAAGTGATGGCCCCTCCCCTCCTCTGGCTCCTCCCCTACTCTGGCTCCTCCCCTCCTCTGGCTCCTTCTTGGTCCTTGTTCCTCCCCTGGCATGGGGATGTCAGCCGCCACAAGTCATCGTGAGGAGAGGTCCATGAGGCAAAGGATAAAGGGAGGCTCCCAGCTAACAACCAGCGGGAGGTTGGGGCCTCATTCCAAGATCTGGACAACCAGATCCTGCCCACAGCCCCGTGAGTGAACTTGGAAGGGAGAAAACCCAACCACTCTAAAACGTCTGTGTGTGAACCTTACTGGGAGTTCAGTACTCTGTTTCCTCAAAGTTTATTGCAGTTTCATTGTGGATGTTTGGCATGACAATTACATGTGTTTGGAGAGGGAGCTCTACTTTTTCTGATAAATGACATTTAGACATACCTGACTATTTTCTCACATTCAGCGTTGATTAAATTTGTGAGCGATCCTCTGCCTAAGAGGGGCATGCTAACTGAGGACATTACGGGAATTCTGCTCTCGTCTTAGGAGACAGGTTGGCTCATCCCGGGGAGGGACAGACAAGCACGCGCCCCCTCTTTCCTTCCTGTCAATCTCCCCTGCCTTCTCCTCCTGGCCATGTTTGCAGGAATGTACACATTTGACAAAACTTAGGAACACACCCTTGAAATATGTGCAGTTTATCACGTATCAATTATACCTCAAGTCAAGCTGTTAGAAATATGTCACAGTGTGGGTACTATACCAGCAAAATGCCAGCATCCTGGTTCTTTAAAAGGCACATATTTTTCTGTTGTTGAGAGCATCAAAACCCAGTGATCCAGGCTTACTCTCAGTCATCCATCAGCTCTCAGCCTAAGGAAAACTTGCAACTGCCAGTTCTGGTTTAAAGCAGTCCCATGTGGGTCAACTGTCTTTTCCGAGCAGATGTGACATCAGGTCGGACGCTTCCCTCTTGAGGATCTCGCACTGTCTTCCATCCTCTCATGGCACCTGTCTGTAGACAGAGACAAGTTGCAGACACTCACCCAGCGTCCATCTGGGTGAAGAGTGAACAGCCTTCAGGCGCAGACTCATGCACAGATAGACACATGTCAATTAACACCTTCATACCCGGACACGTGTTAGACGAATCTGTTGCAGTGTGAACATTGCAGAGCTACTTCACACACATGCCTGGCTGCTGGAGCCTCACACAGGCCTGGGCACCATGGTTTTTAAGATATGTGTGTGTATGTATCTTAAACACAGGTGTGACATAGCATGGTGTGGTATTTTATCGGGCTACTCCAAATGGCACATAGTTTAAAAGGCATGAACTGTTTATTTCTGGAATTTCACACTTAATATTTTCACTTCTCAGTTGACAGCGACTCACTGAAGCCAAAACCACAGAAAGCAAAAGTTCAGATAAGTGGACTTACGTGCTTACCACACACTGACTATCCATAGCACGGGTTTGCACACATGTGGAAAGCTTTTGGGAAGGACCCGTTAGAAATGTGAGTCTGCCCATCTCTAGGCTCCAGAGAGAAGAGTTACTTTGGGTTTATCTTCTGCACCATGAAAATTCCTTTGTTTCAATCAATATTCTTTTTATGATAAAAAGCTGGTTAAAAAATAGATGAGGGGGGAAATAAAGGAAGTCAATCAGCTTGGGTTGGTTTTAAAGCTCTAAGACATTCAGGTTTCAGAGGAGTAGATCAATGTGACACTTTCATCACACACTTGGGCATCGTCCCCAACACGGGTGGGCAGGATGGCAGCCCATGTGAGTTATTTTCCCCACCTGAGGTTCCAGCAGGCCCTGGCTGTCACCCGGGAATGCCCAGCTGTTCCAGCATTATAACTTCCTTTGAAGACACAGCTGGCCGGTCCCCTGAGGACACATCCCCCTGGTGTCTCTGACCCCACCATTCTGAGAGCAGTCAGTGGCGTCCTCATGGGTACACTGGGCAGAATTCACAGAGATATAAAAATTCTTCTTTTTGAAGTAACATAAGGTCGAGGGTAAATTTATTTTCATAACTGGATTACAGTTGTCTGATGGACTTTGATAAAGAAGCTTCTACTTGCTTTTTTAAATCAAAGGCAAACAAAAGCAAATATTGTCTTTTGAAATAGGAAACATGATCAGTTCCCAGGATAAATTCAAAAAAGACATACAAGGCAGCTCAGCACATAATGAGTAATCTTAAGTAATATGTACAGTATTTATTCTAAGCTATCTGGTCATTATATCCAGGCTGAGGATGACCTTGACCTCCCAAGTGCTGGGGTTACAGGTGTGTACTGCCATGCCTGGTGGGTTTTTTTTTTTTAAGTTATCCTAAATGAAGTTTTTTTTCATTCTCTGACAATTTCGTACATGCATATAGTGGTTTTTACTTGATTTCACCCTCCCCATTCCTCTGTCTCATTCATTCCCTCTCCACGGAAAACCTTTATCATTTAAAGTAACTCATTTAAGGAAACTTTCTAGGTAGAGTTTAAAAAAGAAAATTTAAATTATTTATAGTTTCAACATATAGCATAGAGTTACTACAAACTTTTCTGCAAAGTTTCTTCCTGTCTCTTTTCTCCTAAATGTATTTTTATTTAGTATTATTTATTATTGTTTTCTCTAATGCTTAAAATTTTAACATTGAACTTTCCCACAACCCTATAACATTTTCCAAAAGATATTTTTTTAATGACTGCTTTGTGTTCAATTGCATGGGTTTGCTAGTTAATAAACTGATTGTGATCTTTATAATGCTTTGCAAAGTTGATTAAAAAGCTGCTATCTAGTAATCTCAGAATTTAGATTAGTTTAATTATTTGGAGGTTGGGAACTAAATTGTTTTTGATGCAAGGTCTAACTATGTCGTTCATGCTGTTCTTGAACTCAAAGTCCTCCTGCCTTCGCCTCCCAAGTGCTGGGATTACAAGTGTGCACCACCTCGATTGACTGAGAATTACAAAGTGTGTACCACCTCAAAGTTATATATAAATGTTACAGATCCTAAAGATTTGGAATATTACTGAATTATGACTTTCTGGGTTTTCTTTTTTTTTTTTTTTTTTTTTTTTTTACCTCACCCCCCAGGAAAGGGGAAAAAGAGAAAAAGGGGAGAAAAACAGCATAGTTCCCCAGG